TTTTTTTATTATATTTTAATTTACATATAAAATGAATATATAATAGGTTTGTACTTAAATCATGACTTGCTTGAGGTTTTTAGTTATCTTGAATTACTCATTTATTAAAATAATTTATTATGGGTCATCGAAATTTGTTCATCAATCAGTTTTAGCGTGTCATTTTGAAAAATAATTAATTTCATTATTTTTAATTTTCTATAATCAATAAAATATTTCTAAAATATAATAATAATTTTTTTAAATAATCATAATTAATAAATATTTTTTATATAAAATAAATTTTTATATAAAATAAAAAAATATATAAAAATTGATAAATTAAAAAAAAAAGTATAATATATTAAACATAATTTTTTATTAAATAATATTTTTATTTATAATAAAATAAAAATAAAAACTTTAGAAAAAAATATTTTAAATTTTAAAAAGTAATAAAATATTAAAATAATTTAATTTGATATTTTTATATCAAGAATTTATACAAATTTATATTAAATTCCAATCCATTTGTAAAAAATAATATTTATGGTTATAATTTATAATATATAAATAATTAAAATATTTTAAACCTATTTGTTTTTTTAATAATCAAAAAATAAATAAAATTATTTAAAATATATAAAGGATTATATATAATAAATTTAACAAAATTTCTTTATTTTATAGCATTTAAAATAATATAATAAAAATAATTCATAATTCTTATTTATATATATATTATTTATTTTATATTTATAAATAAATCACATTTTAATATTTCCATTTTTATCCAATCTTTTAAGCAATAAATCCATAAACTCATTTTTAAGAAATCTTTAAAAAATTAAATAAAAAAAATAAAAAAAATACCATTCCATCTCCATTCTAATCACAATCTTATAAAATACTTTTGCCATGTGGCTTCATCCAATTCAGTACCTCCCATTATATTTTACAGTTCAATTTTTTCAATAAACCCATTTTAATCTTAATCAAACATTTTGAAAGCTTTTTCGATTTTATTTTTTGATAGAAGTTTTTCGGTTTACATAGCAGCAACTACGAATTCTATTATGTTTAATTTTTTATTAAAAATCAATTAAATAAATAAAAATATTTATGATACCTGAAAAATCTACTTTTCCTGATTTGTTTACATCTACATCATCAAATATTTTATTTACCATTTCTTCTGCTTATGCTCTGTCTTTCATTACTTACATATAACCTTATTTTTTTTTTTTTTATTTTATTTTTTTTTTTTATTTTTTTATTTTTTTATTTTTTTAACCAGCCATTAATTCATGCCTTTCCAATGTACCATCTCCATTTTAATCTAAATTTTTAAAAGTTTTCAAGAGCTCTTCTTTTTCTTATTAAGAGACTATATGGGTTGCTATGAATGTTAAAATAGCTGATCTTAATTTATTTTTAGAATGGAATTATCCCAAATTACTTAATACTTTTGTATTTAATGGTTATTTTGATGCATTTTTTTAAATCCAAGGATCATCAAATGCTTTTTATGCACTAATTCTTTTATTATAATCTTTTTAAAGCATTTTCTTGACAAACTCTTTTGCTTCTTTACTTACACCAGACCAATCTTCCTCTAATTTTTTATTAAACTAAAAAAAATTATTTCTTACCATCAAATGAAAACTCACCCTATTCAACACTTTTAAAAATTTCTGCTTCATTATTACCATTAAAAGGAGGATATCCGCATAATAAAATATACATTATTATTCCACATGACCATATATCACATTTTTCATCATAATTTTTTTAAAGAACTTCAGGAGCAATATAATACGGCTTCAATATTTATAGTTTTAATTTTATTTTTATAACAAAAAAATATAAAAAGTTATACTGTCCCTAATCTTTTTGTCATTTTTTTTGTAGGATCTATTTTTCTTGACGTTCCAAAATCTATGACTTTCAAATTCGAATTTTAGTTTTTGGAATCAAATAATAGATTTTCAGGCTTTAAATCTCTTTTATTTAATTTATAAAATAAATAATATGTTTATTTAAGATTTCATTTTATTTTATTATTATTATTTTTTAAATTTATTAAAGGTTTATTTTTATTATTATTATTATATTTATTTTAGTTTTAATTAAAAAAGGAAAAAATTAATTAAAATAAATATTTATTTTTAAATTTCAAAAATTATAATTTAAAATATTTACAATGTTAAAAATATTTTATTAATTTTTTCCTAATCTTAAATAAAAGAAAATAAATTTTTGTTTGTAAATAATCATAAGATATTTAAAAATAATTTTATTTAATATAAAAAAAAAAAAATTATTTAATGGTAAACCTATGCACAACTCCTTTAGAATGACAATAAACAATAGCAGAAAGTATTTATTTCATATAATCAGCAGCTATATATAAAAATAAAATTATATTTTATTATTAAATAATGAAACCTTCTCTTTCAGAAAAAGATTCCATTTATTTAATTCTTTCAAACAATTCACCACCTCCACAATACCTTAAATATATATATATATAAATAAAACTATAATATTAATTATAAAAAAATATATATATATATATATGGTTAAAAATATAAAAATTTTAAGAAATTTATTAATTCTTTTCAATAATCTAAATTATTTAAATAAAAAATTTATCAAGTATTAAATTATTACTCTGTAATTAAATAATAGTTACCATCATCTTGAAATAATTCATATAATGAGATAATATTTGGATGATTTAATTCTTTTAATACGCTTACTTCTGCAAACATTTTTTCTTCTTCTTCTTTTATTATATTGCTTTTCTTTATACATTTCATGGCTCTTAAAAGACCTATTAATTATAAACAAAAAAAATTATTAAATAAAATATACATATAAATGAAAATATTTTTTAAAAAATATATAAATCTAATTTTTATTTTTTATAAACTATATTATTACCAGAGGATTTTTATTCTACTAATCTAACACTTCCAAATGCACCTTTTAATATTTTTTATTATTGTTTGAACTAGTTCAATTTTTTTATTTTATACCTTCACCTAATATATTACCGAATTTATATTCATTTTGAATAAAACCTTTTTTTAAAGCAACAAATATTTCTGGTCCAACTTTAAATCCTTATTGTTATATGTCTTGATTATAATTATATTAATCTGTAATGCCATTAGCTTTATTATCAATGCACTTATTTTCTTAATATTTTACATTTTATTTTAATGGTTTACCTGTTGTACAACCCATTTACTTATATTATATGTCAATTAATTTTTATTATTTAATTAAATTTATATAATAATAAAAGTTTTTTTTTTCTACTTTTATATATATAGTATACATAAATATATATATTCATAATATAAGGAATACAAAAAAACATTTATTTAATAAAAATGGATAATAATAAAAAAATAAATATAATTATTATATATATTAAAAATACATGACTTCAAATATAATATTAAAATAAAAAAAATATAAAAGTAAGAATATTTTGGATAAAATTTATATATTTTTTAAAAAAGAAAAATATAAATATTATATATTAATAAATAAAATATATAATATAATATATAAATAAAAAATATATAAATATATATATATATATATATATATATATATATATTATATATATATTTTTTATATTATTATAATAATTTATTATAGTAATTATTATAATAAAAAAAAACTAAAAAATAAATCAAAAATTTCACTAACAAATTTATAAATAATAATTTAAATGTAAATTTTTTCAAAATCTTATTTTATAAATAAACGAATTTTACTTTCCTTACAATTAATTTATATTTATTTTATTTGTTATCGCCTATTTTTATTAATATGGCTCTAAATATTTTAATATAGTAAAAATAATTTTAAATATTTAATACTTGGTTTATTTATTTAAGCGAACACTCTTTTTAATTTTTTTAATAGGCAATATATTTTTTTTTTGAAATAAAATTGCGTTTTTATTTAATGATTTTTGGATATTTGAAAATTTATAATTTTAGGCTACTTTTACTTATTCAATAACAATATTATACTGGATATCGTTATTTATAATATTTAAAGGAAAAAACTAAAATAATAATGATTACTAATGTAAGTTAATATATTTACATATTTTATTTATAAATATACATATGATAATTAACATTATTAACTTTAAATTTTATTATGATGTATGCTGTATTTTTTTTACTTTTCTATACGATTGTTAATATTATTACTACTTTATGTGACCCTTTATTATTTATATTTAGATTAGAAATCTATATTAAGCTATTTATTTATTTTTTTTACGACTTTTTGGAAAACTGTTCAATAAGAAAGCCAAAAAGTTTAAAAAGTTTTTAAAAATAAAAAAGATTTAATTAAATTTGTTGATAAATTTAAAATATTGGTATTAGTAAACCTTTTTTAAAGTAATTTTTTTTTACTTTAACAATAAAATCATGAAGAAAATTTATCTATAAAATTAATTTTTGAGTATTTATATTTAAATAAATTAAAGTTAAATTTTATAAAAAATATAATATAAAATATTTTAATAGATTACCAAAAAATAATATTATTTTTTTCATGTTTTTAAATAAGTACAAGAAATTATTTCTTATTGAAAAATTCCTTTTTCAAATTAGTCTAACTTTTTTGTAATTTTCTCGTTTATTTACGCAGTAATTTTACTCTTTTGTTTTAATGGTTTTATTATAAAATCAATATAATCTTAATGTAATGAGCTAGAATTTGCTTTATTCTTACATTAAATAATATATTTAGGCCATTTAGGTTTAGAATCAACTTCACCTATATATTGTTTGAAATTTTTAGGTCTTTTTTTTAATTAACTGGTATAAGATCTCACTAGTTTTTAATATTATTAAGCCACTTTATGAGATTTGTTATTAAAATAGTTTGTCAAATCTTAATTTTTTTAAGTTTATTTAGATATTTAATCAGCTATTTAGCTAAATTTTAAATCAAATTCAGTTTTTTATAAATTTGATTAAGATCGACTCATTTATTAGCATTCTTTGTACTCATCGAAATCGTTTTTTTATCATTTAAAGCATATTATAATGCATTTTTGAATAATTTTTAATGAATATTATTTTTTATTTATTTTTTATTTTTTCCAATTATGTTGATTGGATTTTTTTAGGTTTATAATTTTTCCAATTATTTTTTTGCATTTGCTTCTTCAAGTTTTGATTCGATTAAGCTTTTTGCTTTCATATTTTTTTTTCTGTCAATTTTACTTAGAGAATAATTATTTTATGTTTATTATTTCTTTGTTTATTCATTCAATTCATTTTTTCGAATTTTATCTTCTATTAATTCTCCATATTATTAATATGATTTTAATTTTTTTAATATGTTTTCTACTCCTTAAAAATTAGTTAATTCTTTTGATTTTTTGTTTTAAATATAAAATATAAATTTTTTAAAAAATATAAAATTACAATATTATGAGTTGAAATTTTCCTATACATAATCTACTTTTTGATTTTATTCATTTTTTTTAATTATTTATTTCATATCTTGTTCAAACATTTTAAGTTTCATTTATTCACTTCCGTATTTTTGAATTTAGAAAAGTTAGCAATTATCATATTTGCCAGTATCCGCGTTTTCATTATAATAATATCCTTTACTTTTTGCCAAATTTTAAAATTTAGTTTTTTAAGTAGTTTTAATAATGCAATGTTTATTTTAGTCTTCTCTATTAGTATTCATAGCACTTTACATTAAAAAAAGAATTCTTTTATTTTAATTTTAAGAACTTGAAGCAGAACATAACTATCTGGTATCTGATTATATAACTTCAGCAATTTAATTATTATCAATATCTTTGTAGTTAATAAGTTTCTGTCTGAATTATTTTCCTTTATTTGACATGAAATTTAATACATATCGGAATTCAGGCAATAACAAATTATATAGAGTTTTAATTTCCTCCTAATGGTGAATAGAATAATATCTATTATAATATTAAAGTATTTGCTTGTGCATAGCAAACAATTTATCGAGGCTTTATTTTATTTAATTTATTAACTCTTTTCGTTTATTAATTATATTTATGTAATCATTTAAAACATTTCTTTTTATTACTAGTTTTTCTATATAAGGAATTTCACTTATATCAAAATGAAGTTACATTTTTTCTAATTTTGAATTTATTCTTAAATAATTTTTGTTATAATAGAAATCATTAATATTTTTTTTATCATTTTGAACTATATTATGCTATTCTTCTATTATCTATTTGTACAGAAAACGCAGATTTTTTTTAACATAATTATATATTTGCTATATGTTTTATTCTAAACTATTTTAAATATATTTTTCTTCAAGTATTTCATGTTACATATTCATTAATTTTATATTTTCTTAAAAATGTTTTTTTTAATATTTACAGTATAAATTTCTTATTTTAGTGTGTGTTTTATATTTTATTTTAATTAAAATGTTATATATAATAACTCAAAAAATATGATTTAATTTTTAATATAATTTTTTTGTATAAATTAAATTTATTTAAGGTTTTCATTTTTTTATTTAAAGCGTATTTTATAATAAATTTAAAAGGAATGTTTAAAAAAATCATAAAATAAAAATTAATTTAAATATTATAAAATAATAAATAAATATAAAAAAAAAAATTAATAAAATATATTAATTTTAGAATTTTCATTTATATAATTTTTTATTTTTTTTCATTTTATATATAATATAATAATATTTTAATTAATAAAATTTTCAAATATTTTTTTTAATAACAAAAATATAAAAAATAAATAAAATGAATTTTTATAATAATTTATACTAATCAATAGAATTTTCTAATTGCAATAATGAATATGATTTTTTAAAATTTGATAATACAAAATTAGAATATAATGATTTTGAATAGGGGAACAACAATAATGAATTATTTTAAAATAATTATCTATATAATTAGTTCGATTTTTAATAAAATAATAATGATAATAATATTTAATTAGAAAACAATAATTTAGATTAAAAGTTTAATATAGAAAAAGAAGAAGTTTAATAAAAAAGTGAAGATTAATTCATTTAGAATATACTCCCTTAAAATTAAAATTCATAGGATTAAAGTAAAGAATAATTATCAGTAACATAAATTTAAAAATATATAAAAAAAAATAAACAATTAAGAAAAAAATATAAGTACTTGATTAAATGTTTTAAATGCAATCAAGAAAATATTAAGCCTTTTCACATTAATTAAAATGAATCTATGTTTATGTGTTAAAATCCGAAAGTAATTTTATATAAAAAATAATTTTAGTATAATTTTTTTTAAAAAGTGCGATTTTCCCTTTTGTGAGGATAATTTATCAGATTTTATATTTACAACCTTATATAGAAATTAAATATTTCATAAATTAAAGAAAGTTTTTAAATTTAAATATGGAGATGATGAATTATTACCTCTTTATTATGAATAAGATTTAGATATAATCAATAATGATATAAAAAATTAAGAAAATTGAAAAATTAAATTTATTTTATTATTATTATAATATTTATTAATTGTAAAAAGAAAATAAATTAAATTAACTTATTATATTTAAGATATAATTTTATATTCTTATTTTTTTGCAAAATATATAAAAAAATGCAAGATAATAACAATTATGTGAAATGTATTTAAACTTTAGAAGGACATTAAGAAAAAATATGGTGTATAAGCTGGTTAAATTAAAAAAAATCAAAATCAAAAATTTTTAATAATAATAATATAAAAAAGGCATCCTTCAGGTAAATTATTTGCAACGTCAAGTAGTGATAAAAGTATAATTATATGGACATAAATCGAAGAAGATTCTAATAATTACAAACAATTAAAAAAAATAACAGATGCACATGATCGAACAATTCGTTATTTGGCTTTTTCACCAAATGGTCAAGTTTTAGCAAGCGCAAGTTTTGATAGCACAATATGTATATTTGTAAAAAATAATTAGACCTTTGAATTTGTTTAGAGAGTAGAGGGACATGAAAATGAAGTAAATTTTAATTTTAATTAAAAATAAAAAAAAAAGGTTAAATGCGTTTCTTGGAGTTATGATAGTAAATATTTAGCATCATGTTCTCGTGATAAAACAATTTAAATATGGGATTATGATAATAATTTTGAGTTTTCGTGTTATGCTGTAATAGAAGCACATAGTTAGGATGTAAAACATGTAAAATGGATTCCTTAGACATATAATTTAGCCAGTTGTTCATTTGATGATACTGTAAAAATATGGGAATAAGAAGATGATGACTGGAAATTATAATCAACTTTTACAAACCATTAATCTATTGTTTGGTGTGTAGAATTTTCGAAAGATGGAATGTTTATGTCAACTTGTGGAGATGATAAATATATTAAGATCTTCAAAAAAAATGAAAATGGAGTTTTTTAATAACCTTATGTTGTTGAATCTTAAATCGAAAATGCTCATTTAAGAAGCATTTTTTCAATTTCTTTTAGTGAAGATGCAATGTTTTTGGCATCTGTATTCCTTTATTTTAATATTTTTATTATATTTTTTAAAAGGGAGGAGCAGATAATTGTTTGAATGTTTATTAAAAAAAAGATGATTAAGTTTGTTTTGAAGGATAAAATTATGCTTATTATAATTTACTGGAAAGAAAAGTATTTTTATGTTTATGTTATATTTATTTTTTTAAAAAAAAGGTTAATTGCCATATATCTGATATTAATTGTGTAGCTTTTAGCCCTGTAGATAATTTATTAGTTACAGTAAGTGATGATAGAATGATAAAAATATGGACTGTTGATATAAATTTATGAAAAAATAATAATATTATATATAATTATATAAATATATATTACTCTATTAAATAATAAATAAATAAAATAAATATATCATAATATAAAAAAAATATTATTTAATAAAATAATGAATATTATTAATAATTCTAATAATTCTAATAATTCTATTTAAAGAAGATAATCAATATTACAATTAATAAATTAAAATTTAGAAAAAACCAAAGAATAGAAACATGAGAAAAAAGAGTAATAATTTATACAGACCTTAGTTGAAAATTGCCAAAAATTAAATCTTTAAGAAATAAGCAATGATGATTTTGAAATAAACCAATTAAAAAATGAAATACAAAGACTATAATCAGATAATTATGTAAAATAATAAAAATAAAAAAAATGAAAATTGAAGAAATAGAAAAAATAATTGAAAGATAACGTTAAGTAAAAATTTAATAAGAATCTTATGAATAATTATAATTTGATTATTCTTTAATAATGGCTAATTTAATTAACTTTATTGATTATTTTATAAAAGAATTAAAAAAAAGCCAATCTATAAAAGAATTAGAAAATATTTTTCCTTATATTTATTAAACTGAATAACTTTGGAAATAATAAAATCCTGAAGAACTTTGCTTTGTTTTGAAAGATTTTATGAATTATTTTATTTAAATAAACTTATAAAACTAATAAATAATTTCTGATATGATTATGAAAGATAAAGAAATAAAAATAAAAGAAGAAAATTATTTTTTAATTCATAATTTGGAATTGTAATAACTAGATTTTTAAAAAAAAGAAAATGAATATAAATTATGTATTTAGTTATTAAATAGAAAATAAGATGAATTGGAATCCAAGTTAAAAATTATTTAAAAGTATAGTTTAAATACTATGATTAAATTATAAAAAGATAATAAATTAATTACTAATTTAATAAAAGACAAAGATAATATTATGCAAAACATTCAAAAATAAATAGAAAACAAAAACGATATTATTTAATAATAGGATGATAAATTAATTGGATTAATTATTTTTTAAAAAAAACTTAAAAATTTAGAAATTAAACATGAAAATGAACTTTTAAAAATATTAAAATAAAATTTATCTATTTTAGAAAAATACTAAAATATGTTTTTAAATTGTTGGAGGAGCTTAAATAAAGAAAGCCTCATTAACATGGATGAATAGTTTGATTATGTAAAAGCTTATGTACAAGGTATTTAAAATGATTTAAGTTATTAAATTTAATAATTAAAAATAAAAATTGATTAAAAGTAAGTTGATTTTATTTAAAGAAAAAAAAGATTTAATTAGTAAAAAAATATTCATATTTTTTAAAAAAATAATAATAAATAGAGAGAACAATATAGAATAATAAATTGATTAAAATAAATATATCTGTAAAATTTAAAAAAAAATCGAAGCAATTCATAGTTTAACAAACAAAGGAAAATTGTTTTAAATTTCTCTTCTAAATTCAAATAATAAAAAAAATAATAAAATATTAAGCTAAAAATAATATATCAAAAAAAGTAAGTCATAGTATACTTAAGTTTCCCAACAAACTTTTAGTACTTAAATTGAAAACTTTTAAGTAAAAAAATAGAGTAATAATAATTTAAACAATTTCTATCAAACAAGAAAAAATAATTCAAATTTTATTGAAAATAGAAATAATTCAAAAGAGTAATAATTTAATTATTTTATTAAAAACTTAATTTTTATATTTTCATATTTATTTATTTTTAAATAAAATAATAGAATTTAAAAATCTATTAAAATATTTAGAAAAATTAAGACTTAACATGATTTATGAGAGCTTACTAACTATTGTATATAAATAAAAAAAAATTCTTTAATTTAGTATTAAAAGATATATTATAAACTTATTATAATAATAAATTTTAAATATATATAACAATAGTTTTAATTACATTTTTATATTTTAATAATAAATTTTCTTGATTTTCTAGCTATAATATAAAAAAGATTATATAAAAAGAAAAAAAATATTTATAATAAAATTAAAAAATGTATTTAGTATTAAATTTATATGAATTTTATTTCTTCTTTTTATATATTTTCAAAGAAGTTGTTTTAAAATAAATAAAAAAAATAAATAAATAAAAAACTCTACTAAAAACATTTCTAAAAAGATTTAAATTATTTTACTTCATAAATAAAATAATTTAAAAGATAAAATATTCAATTATATAAATATTTAAATATGAAAAATTTCATAATTAATTATTATTATTTTATTATTTATCGTTTACTGGTACAACCTTATTTTATATTTTAACAGTTGAAACCCATTAAAAAGGTTCAAAATATTTTACTTAAGCTTTACACTTACTTTGAAAATAGAATAACAAATACAAATATCTAGCTTGAAAAACTATTAAAGAGTTATTTCATCAACCTTAATTTCAGTAGTTTTATCTATTTTATTTAAACAAAAAGCAATCGGAAGTTTATTCAAAGATTCATTTTTTTTAATTTTTTGGAATAATTTTACTTCTTATTAAAAGTTTTATGATGTACAACTTGCATCTATCATAAATATAATACCAACTAATTATTTAAACAAATGTTTAATTTAGTAAAAATTTAATTCGTTTAGTGTTATATCGTATATAGCATATTTTTTTTTATTGAATGTTATTTTTTCAGCATTATAACCTATCGTAGAAATTGAAGGAACATCCAATTGTTTTATTATTTGGTTAAAAATAGATGTTTTTCCACTACCTTGCAAACCTAAAATTAATATTTTATTTCCTTTTGGTTACAATACTTAATTTAAGGATTTTCCACATCCCATTTATTTGTTTTTTAATTGGAATAAAAAATATTTTTTATAAAAATATTAATATTTTAATAATAAAATGTATAATTAATATTGAATTTGTAATTTTATTATATTAAATTGATTTAATAAATGTATTTTTTTTTTTCATTAAAAAATTAATATTTTTGTAAATAATTCTCTCTTATATATTTTAAAATTAAATTTTAAATCAAGCTTTACTTAACTTATAGTTTATATATCATTTTTTTTTTATTTTTGAAAGAAATATATTAAATTATTAATTTTCTATTAACTGTTTTAGAAAATATATATAACTATTTATTTATTATAAAATAATTTATCATTCCATATTTTCATATTTTCTTCATTACTTTTTAAATATCGCTTAAATTTAAATTTAATAAACTATTTTCTTCACTAGTTATATTTGAACTTGAAGTAATACTATTACTATTTAATTATTTTTTTATAGAAGTTTAGAATTGATTATTTTATTATGTTTTTAATTATTTATGTTAATCAATATTAATATTATTATTATTCATTTATTGCGTTTATACAAATTATTATTTCGATTATAAATAGGAAATAATATCTATAATAAACTAAATTAATTTTATAATGAATTCAACATTATCAGATTCTGAAATTAGAAGTTCGAAATATTTAATATTTTAGAACTTTTAAATAAAAAGCTAATCAATATTCATATCTTTTGCTTTTAATAGTTTAAATAGAATTTGTTTATTTAAATTTAATTCTCTTTACAAATTATTATTCTAATCACTTGAAATTCTACTGCTTTTTGTTTAGCTAAAAAGTTTTTCATTTAAAGTAATTTAATTATTTGGATCAGTTGAGTTTTGATCTGCTTGTTGCTTACCTTATTATAAAATTTATTACTAAAGCTATATTATTTTGGCATTTAATTAAATATTTTCATATTTTAATTCATTTAAATATTTATCTTTTTCATATACTATTTGTTTTTATCTCTCCTTTTTTTTTTAATAATTTATTAAGAATAAAATAAAATAATAATACTTAAAGTATATTAAACTCTTGTATTAGTTTATCATAATCTTATCTTTTTGTTGAGTTTGATTCTAAAATTTTCAGTTATTACTAATGTATTTTATTTTATTAGCAAATTTCTGATAAATATTGTTTAAATTTTTCTATTTATTTTGTTAGAAAATCTAATGTTTAATTATTTATTTTATTATTAATATCTTTTTTTGAAGAAATATTGATATTTTTATTAAAGCTAACTAGACTACCATTTAAATCTAATTTTTTTATTTCAAGTTTTATTAATATAATACAATATAATAATTTTTTACTTTATTTATGCAAAATTTCATTTATTTATTATCTTAAAGTATCTTTTTCGTTTTTACAATTAACGTTTTAGCATGGTTACGAATTTTATTATAACTTTAATAAAAAAAAAAAATTAATAATGAAATTTTATTTAAAAAATAAACTTTGTTTTTTTTTTAAATACTTATTTCATTTTTTTATTATGTTATTTAAATAAAACAATTGATTTATTTTAATAAAAATTGTATGTTTATTATAGATATTAAATAATATTTTACTTAAAACAAAACAAAAAAATATTTAAATTAAAAAAAAATGAAATTGAGTTTATATTATTAAATTTTTATGCCTTTATTTGTATTAAAAATTTAAAGATTTAAATTTAAAAAAAAAAAAAATATTCTTCGTTATTATTAAATAATTAATATTTATTATTTATAATTACCTGAATTATTTTTTATTTAATTAAAAAAGAAAAAGTTATTTATTATAAATTTAAATTATTCTATAAAATTATAAATAAAAAATTATGTGAAAAATACTTTATTTTTTAATTCTTTTATTATATTTATATTGTCAAATAAATTTTTTATAAATCTATGGCTATCAAATATAATTTGAATTATATTTAGGGCCTCAAATATATATGTTTCTTTCGATTACGAATAACTTAAAGAATACGATTTAACATTAAAACTACGCAAAATTCATAAGATAATTCTTTATTAAAGATAATAAAATAAAGCGAGTACCATTTATACTAATAATTATTTATTTTGTTATATTTTAAAATATAAAAAACAGTTAATAAGTGAAACTTTATCCATATAAATACTATAAGCATTAGAATTAAAATTAAAATATGTATATAAACTTATACCAGAAAAATAATTTTTTTATAATTACAATACACTAATAATTTTTACACTGAATGCATATAAAATAATAAGTGAAAATACTTATTAATAATATTATATTTGCAAAAAGTTATTTTCTGTTGCTTAATTAAAATTTTAAATAAAGTTAAGAAGAATTTAAATACAAAGTATAAATTACCACGAATGGTTATTCTAATATTTAATTATTCAAAAATTAAATATAAGTTTTTAAAGAAAATATAATTATTCTTATTTTGTTAACTTTCCTGAATTCAAAATTAACAAAATTAAATATTTTTGCTTTACTATTGATGATTAATAAGATTGAGCTATTTAAATTTAGAAATATTTTTTTTTCTATAACTTAATAATAAATATGGTATCATTATAATTATTTTAAATCTTTATATTATGGAAAAAAAGAATATTTTTAATAAAAAATAAAGAGAATTTATTTTTGAAAAATGCATATTTATTAATCTTTTAAATTTAAATATTAAGCTTAAATAAATTTATATATAAAATTTAAATATTTTAATCCACAAGGGCTTTTTATTGCATGAAATAGTTATTTTTGTATATAATTCATATAACTATGTATATTAATATATTTAAATATTAAATAGAATTAAATGATTAAATAGTAATTTAAATTACTATCAAGATTTTTATTTATATATAGAATTAAAAGGAGGCTAAAAAAGAATATATTAAATAGAAAAAGACCCAAGTTAATTTATTAATAAAACAAAAAATAATAATCAAGATCAAAAGTATTATTTTATCAAATAAAATTATTAATGATTTTTTAAATTATGATCATATTTTATCTTTATAAAAAGAAATTGATTAAAGTTTTTAAATTTCTTAATTCCTTAATTATGTTATTTCTTTTATTTAATTTCATAACAATAATAGTGTTATGACACTGAATGCGGTTTCTTTTTTGACAATAAATAGGTTTTTCAGTTGAAGATAGTGAAATATTAAATAAAAGTTTAGTTTCACTAAAAAAAATACAGTTAAAAGTTTTATAATTTTAACACTAGATATTTTAAACAAATTAATTATACAATTAAATACAAATTAATTAATTAGAATAAAATACTATAAGTAACCAACCATAATTTATCCAAAATAAATTCCAATATTCTCTAAATAAAGATGTCCAAACTAATAATTATAATTCTAAAATTTACATATACATGTATTTAGCTGTTTTAATAGAATATGAAATTGTATTTTAAAGTATAAGCTCATACACTATTTTTATAATATTTAAACTAAACTACTAATTTTATTATATAAATTTTATATAAAAAAATCTTCCTATAAACTAATAACTAAATATATAAATTAATATTATTTTTATTCCTAAAAAAAATTCAACATATTTTTTTATCATTAATTTTTTCATTTTCCAAAAAATATTACGTTTTTATGTTTAAGGAGATATTTTATACAAAACAGTTCTGGATAAGTCGATAAATTAATTTGGTTTATAATAATTAAATGAATGAAATCATTTAGTCTTTATTTATTGTTTACTTATTAATTTGTTTTATTTTGAATTTTTGTTTAATAAATAAAAATAAATAATTATTTTTTGTAAAAATATAGTTTTTTTTTTATATTTTTCAAATATTTTATATAAAAAAGATAATTTAAGTAAAATAATTTCTATTTTTTTTTCTGAGGGTTAACTTATACTTAATATAATAAAATATAAAATTTCAAAAAATATTATATAAAATAGTTTTCTCTTTTATTATCACAAATTATTGGAAAAAGCTTAAATTCCAATTTTAGCAATTTAATTCTTCATAACTTTTTGATGTTCTAAAAAAATGAAAAATATCAAATAAAAATAATTCATTTTTTATTATTACCTCCTCTACATTTATAAAAACCCATAAAGTTAACACCATAAAGAACTAAATTGATAATATTAAGAGTCCCCTATTTTTTTTAATAAAATAAAAATAAAATAAAAAAAAAACCCAAAAAAATCCAAATGAAAGTAAATTTATGAAAGCCAAAATAGCCCAAAACAAAGTAGCTCCAATTTATGAAAACCAAAAGAAACCCGAGTCAATTTAATTAGCTGAAGTACCATCTTCAATACATTCAAATCTCCATTTTTCATCTCCATTTTCTTAAATTTCACTCCACCATCTAAGTTTTACTAAAAACCTTCCTGTAATGTTTTTCACAACCCAAAAATCCATACAAGAAACTAATAAAATAACTACGAAAGTAAATGTTGCATTGTTTATTATTAAATTAAGGAAAAAATACATTACTATAGCCGCTACCTTAAATACAAAAGTACAAATGCATATAGTTGGGTGTGCTGCTTGGCTTAAATAGGATAATTCTTATGTACTACCGATTACTTGCTTTGTTGTTTGTGAATAATCAGGGGGTTAAGTGGGACCTTTTTATGCTAGTTTTTTTTCTGTCTCATTCTCCATATTTATATTAAAGTCAAAGTTTTAATCGCCTACAGAGTGATCTTCTGTTAATTATTAATGTTACTATTTTTTTTATGTATTTTTTTTATTGGATATAAGTTATTTTCTTTTAGTTTTTTTTTATTTAATTTACCATAACTTTTTTTTCTTTCTTTCTGGTTTTATTTTTTTTTTGATTTTGATTTTGTTTATTTTTATTTTTTTTTTAAGAAAAGAATTATAGAAAAAAATATTAATATATTTAATAAGTCTTTATTTATTTTTTTAAATAATAATATATTATTTTAAAATTACTATTGAACGAAACATATTATTAGTATTTATTAATTAATTTCATTTTTTAATATGAATAAAAATTATTTTAATAAAAATTTCTCAGTTAAATTATTTAGGAATATAAAAGCTATTGTTTTAAATAAATAGCATTAATAAAAATTTATCGTATTAAAAGTAAATTTTAAATATAAAAATTTTTAGGTTTTCCTAAAAAAATTATTTATTATTTAATCAAAAAAAAACAAAAAATTACTTTTATTATATTAATTAAAAAATGAAAAATATATTAGAATATATTTAAAATAAAATATAAAATATAAAAATACAAATTTATAAACAATTAAAAAAAATGAATTTATAAAAATATAATGCTAAAGTGTTAACATTATTAACATATACATAAACAAAAAACATTCAGAAACTTCTTCTTCCATCCATTTAAACAGGATATATTAACAAATAAATGAAATAAAAAATTTTGGATATGAAAAAGACTGCTTTTTATTATTAAATTTCCCATTTAACAAGTAATATGATCGGATTTGAGCAAAGAATTTTCATAGTATCAAACAAATTATTACCAAATACATATTATAGTGACAAATATACAAAATATACAACAATTGTAAATCCAATAATTACAAAAATATCCCATTAGTAAAACGAAATGTATGAATAATGTGTTGTTTTGCCAGGAATAGAATGCAAAGTGAAAAGATTTAATAATATAATTGTTTAATATTCAGATGAAGATGGAAATATGAAATAAGATGAATTAAATGGATTTAATGCAAGAGTTTTTTAATAAGCAATTTAAAGTTTATAAGGAAAGCTAATAATACATTGGAATATTTCTTAAGGAGAAAATTAAATTTGTGAAAAATATTTAAATTTTAGAAATGTTGATTTACTAAAAAATGTAAATTTTATTATAATTTTATCTTATATTTTTTTATTTATGATTTTCTTTTTAATGTTTTAAGTCTCTTCAAAAATATAATGATATAGTAAAACTATATATTTAATAAAGTTAAAATTAAGAAAAAAGTATTTAAAATTTTTAATATGGTTTTGAATAAGAAAATAATAGATTTAACTTTGATAATAATCTGTATGATAAAGTTGAATAGAATTTTATTGAATAAATTGAAGATTTATAATATGATTTATCGGATTTTTGTGAAAATAATAATTGTATATATTTTCTTTTTTTCTTTTTTTACATTTTTTTTTTATAAGTACCTCACAAAAGAAGAGTTAAAAAATGAATTTTTTTCAATAATCTATTTGTAAATATTTTATTTTTTTTATATAGTTTTTATTAATTATTTTTAATAAAATATTTTATTTTTAATTAACTTATAATTAAATTCTTTTTATCTTTTTTTTTTTAATAAAATATTAAATAAAATCTAATATAATTATAACCATTAAAATTTCTTTTAAAAAAAACTTTTAAAACATATAAAAAAATTAATAATTCCATAATACAATAAATAAACGACTTATTTTCAAATATATATTTTACAACAAGCAACATAAAAAAGCCTATTTTTGTTAATAAAATTCAATGTTTTTTACATACCTAATCAATACAGGATAAATATAATTTCGGTAAATAATTTACTAAAGCAGCAGCTTTGTTATCTCCTTTACTCGATAATGATTATAAATTTTTGTATAAGTCTTCTAAATAAGCATGATTATTTGAAGATTGTGTTTTATTATTTATATTTTAATTAATTAATTAGTTACAATTTTATATTTATTATAATATATCTTATCCTTTTTCATCTTAAATCCACCATTTTTATTCATCTGAGACTTCGGAATCTTTAACAGTAAGAATAAATTATATTATATTAACTAAAACAAGAAAAGTATGTTATAAGTTCTGTACTTTTAGTGAATTTTACTTAATATAATTTTATATGCTTTGGGAAAAACTCTAATTATATTCATTTAAAATGTCCGTAAATTCAGCTTTATGGGCTTAATTAACTTGATTTTATATTAAAATACCTATTTTTAAACTTATTGTGTTTATTTATAAAATTAATTTTTCATTCTCTTATTATTATATTGTTTATATAATCTAAGATAAAGCGCCCTTTTTTTGATTTGCGCTTAATTTTAAATAATCTTTCAATTCTTCGCTTTGTAAGAAGGTTAATTAATCATCAAAATTCATAAATTTTATTTTTTTTAGAATACTTTCTTCATATTTTGTTACTTTATTTATTTTATTTTTAATATTTTATATTTATAATTTACATTAATTTATATTTGCTGATATATTTAACTCTTAGTTTGATGATTTTTTTTCATTATTAGTCATACATGAACCCATTTTTTTTGTTTTTTAATTTTTTGAAAATAAAAATATTTGGCTTAATTTTTATATGTATTTGAATTGTTTTTTTATTTTGTAATAAAATAAAAAAATAAAATAAAAATTGTTCATAATAAAAATAATTAAATGTAGAATAGCAATATATAAATCTAAGAAAATTCTTAAAAATATGATGAAAGTATGTATTAGTTAGAAAAGTTTTCATTGAATAGTTTATAAAAAAAGCCTATAATTTCCAAAAGTACATCTAAAAATTTCTAAAAACTGATAAATTTTGAAAGACAAAATTAATTTTTTATTCAAAGTCAAACCGAAAACACGCAATAAACTTTATTCTCTAACACTAACATAACAAATATATATGAAAAAAAATTAAATGATAATTTAAATCTTTCTTATTTATACTTAAAAAAGGTAAAAAAATAATTTCTAGACACAAATTTACCAAAATCCTTAAATATATAAAATTCTTCCTTAGTATTAAAAAATAAAAATAAATATTCTCAATATCATCATTCTGACATTTACAGTATAGAAGATTTTAGGCAATTAAAAGATATAAAAAAACTATAAATAATAAATGAAGCGCAAAAAAAAACCCTAATAAGAGAATTTAAACATAAGATTAACAAATTTTTAATATAGTTTGAATTCAATAAAAAAAAGGCTGTTTATGAGTTAGAAAAATATTATAAAAAAATAAAAAAAAATTCATAAATAAAAAGAAGTCATTTATTAAATATTTAATAAGGAAATTCTTTTCTGAGTAATATTGATACCTTCTTTGAAGGAGATTTGAATAAAAGCATAGCTAAAATAGATGAGAGTAGATTTCATTATACTAAAATTTAAAATGGAGAAATTTCGTATTTTTTTAATGATTTAAAATTGGAAGAAAATTATGAAAAAAAAGGTTTAAATAGCAAATTTTAAAACGATTTTTTAATCTAACATGAAAAAATACAAATACTTTTTTTGAAAAAAATGCAAAAAAAACTGGACCAAGGAATTAATGAAGGTGAATATAAAGAAAAAATAGAATAAGTTACAAATGATTATTTAAATTTTATAGAAAAAATAAATAAATTATCACATAAAATTAAATTACCAGAAAACATAAAAGTATCGAATTAAAATTTTAATGATTATTATTCAATTTAATAAGAAGAAAATAAAAATAGCTAAGTTTAAAATTTGATTTAAGATTAATAAGACTTTCTTTTGGATTAAATTATTTAAGAATTTGAATAAGTTGAAGATTTAAGTTAAGATCTGTTGTAAGAAAAAATACAAGAAGAAGAAAAAGAAAAAGAAGAAGAAAAAGACGAAGAAGACAAAGAAAATATTTTATAAGAAAAAGAAGAACTTTTATAATCAATTTTATAAGAAGAAAAATAAAATAATAACGAAGAAAAATAAGAAAATAAATAAAAATATATCTAAAAGAAATATAAAATTGTAAAAAGAAAAAAACAAAAAATAGGAAAATAAGAATAAGAATAATAAAAATAAGAATAAGAATAAGAATAAGATTAAGAATAAGAATTAGAAAATTCAGAAGATGAAAATTCAGCGTTTTAAAATAGATATATACCTAAAAATAAACCAGCCAAGTTTAAATTATTTTTAAATACATTTATGAATTATATACTTATTTTTTTGTTTAAATAACAAATAGATATTAAGCGATTTTAAAAGACGAAGATGGAAATACTCCAAAAAATAAAAAATAAAAATAATAAAGAGAGTAATCAGCTTTAGTTGAATATTTAGTTTACAGAGTAATTTATTATAATTTTTTATTTTTTCATTTATTTATTTTAAATATCTATTATAAAATAGCCTCCTTCTCCTTATTAAAAAAAATAAAAATATTAAATTACTTAAAAATAAGCAGAGGATTAAAAGAAGGAAGAAAATTTACCTTAAAAAAAGCCCGAGTAGGTAGAAATTTTACCTTAAAAGTAACCCGAAGAGTCTAAAATTTAAGAAATAAAAGAGATTCTTCCATAATCTGTTCAGGAGGAATAAAAAAAAAAAGTAAATACACCAAGAAAGAAATAAGTTGTAAAACCTAATACACCTAATATAAAATAAAAATAAGAGCCTTAAAAATAATCTGAAGAAGAGGAAATATTAATAGAAGTAAAAGAGTAAAAACCAGAACAAAAATAAGTAATAAAAAAAGAAATAAAGAAAGAAATAAAGAAAGAAATAAAGGAAGAAATAATCGAAGAAATAATCGAAGAAATAATCGAAGAAATAAAGGAAGAAATAAAGGAAGAAATAAAGGAAGAAATAAAGGAAGAAATAAAGGAAGAAATAAAGGAAGAAATAATGGAAGAAACAAAGGAAGAAACAAAGGAAGAAATAAAAGAATTAATTCAATTATAATAATTTAATAAAGAAAGAGTCATAAATGCATAAACTCTAATAAAAAGGAAATTAGGAACTAATTTATTTGATGATTTAATATAAATAGAAAATTTATTAGGTATTATTATTTATTTAAAAATAAAATATAAAAAAATAAGATTTTGATCCAACACCTTATATGCAAAAATAAAATCTTCCAGAAATTCCTAATTAAATATAATTCTAACAAGAAAAAGAAAAAATTCTATTTAAAATTCTTTTTGATTGGAAAAATGAAACTGATTTAATTCTAAACCAATAAAAATAAAAATCTTTAAATAAAAATTTAAATAGTGATGGAGAATCTGTAAGTTCTTAAGAAAGTTCAAATAGTAAAGTTAACAATAGTATAAATTCTAGTGAAATAACAGATTTTGGACCAATAAAAAGTGAATTAAACTTAAATCATAGTGATGAAGATGAAAAAATAAATTGAGAATATTTATTTATTTTAAATAATAAAAAAATACTAATTTTAATTTGTGATTTTTTAAAAAATAACAATACTAATTTATAATTTTTCAAAAAAAAAAGTATTTTCATTTTTTTTTCTCTTCGCTATTACTATATTTAAGACTCCATTAACTTTTATCAAGTTCCTATTATTGAATAATTTTATTTTAAAAAATTTAAAAATAAATCAATCCATAAATCCATCCTATAATACATACAATCTAAAATCTTAAAATTCCACATCCAAAAAGTCCCACTTATTCACTAATCTAACCTCCGAAATTCGAAAAACTATTGAGAGTCGTTAAAAAGCTTCCCCCGATTTCCAAGTCGGAAATTCGATTAAAAAAACCTCCCATAGCTATAAACTAGAAATTATTAATAAAGGAAGAAAACAAAGAGCTTAAAAAATAAAGTACTAATACTATATAATAATTTTCAGAATTTATTTCAGGAAAAGCGCATAATATTCCAAAAGCAAATATATTATCTAAAAATTTTAAATAATATGCTCTTTTTAAACATATCATTTCTTGATTTGCCCGAATATATCTTTAAGCTAAAAAAGCACTCAAAAAAGACAAAGGTATTAATATAAACTATAAAGAAGACATTGTTTCTTTATAGAAACCATTTTGGATTAATTTTACACCGAAAATTGAAGGAATTACAGTCAATCCTAGCCTATATGTTAATAAAAAAAAAAGCAAAAACCTTAAATTTTTATTAGTAAAAAATCCTTTTAAACTGTAAATTACTGTAAATGCACTTTTATTATTATCAGAAATATTAATTTTGGAAGAATTATCTTCTTAGACGAAAAAATGAACTGTAAAAGTAATTAAAAATATAAGAATACCTAAAAATAAAAGAAAGTTTTTAACAGAAACAATTCCTTCTTATTATATTGAAATAATTTCATTATTAAAATTATTATTTAAAAAGTTTTATTTATTAAGAAAAGGAAATATAGGATATATATATTTATTACAAAACTCAAAAGAATTTAGTTATATGAAAATACTATTAGATACAAAAACTCCGAAAATTTAGCCTACATTATTACACGTGGAGCCGATTGAGACATGTTCTTCATTTTCAAAAATCGTCAAAACCCATCCATCAACAGCAATATCCTAAGAAGCAGCCACAAAACAACATAAAAATCCATAAAAAGTTAACCAAAGTATGTTTTGAGTTTGAATAAGTTCGTCAATTTAATAAGACATTATTATAAAGCATATAGAGAGTATATATTATAAAGGAATTATATATGATTTTCTTTTCCCAAAACTAGGAATATAATATGCGTCTAAAATTGGAGCTATTAAAAATTTAAATGCAAATGGATAAAACACAGTTTATAATTCAGCTAACTTTTGCATTTCCACTTTTTTTTCGGCAAGGATAAGAGGAATTGCAGCTCCAAAAAAACCTATGGGAAGTCCTTGGATGAAATATAAGATTAGTAATAATATTATTCCATGTTTTTCTTTAGGCGTTAGAGGAATCTTTTCATTTACGTTGCTTGGATTTTAGGGAGATTCATGAAATTTTACTATTTCTTCTTCTATATTATTCATGTTTATTTAATATATATTTTTATTAATTTTTTTAAACAAAATATAGATTTTAATATATATATAATTAGTAAAATAAAATAAAATATTAAACAAATACACTTAAATAAAAAATAACCAAAATAAACAAAAAACATTCAAATGCTTGGATAAGAAAGTATATTATCAACTTATTCAGCGATTTATTTTTTAATTTCATCATATTTTGTTAAGGCTTTCCTAATTTAAATATCAGAATAATTTTCATCCGTAACATGATCTTATTTCATATTTTCTATCCAAAGCTTATCTTTTCTTTCTTTAATTTTAATATTAACTACAAACTCTCTTTTAAAAACTTTCGCCAACTCTACCTTAATAAAACTCTATAACTCATAAATATTCCTGCCCTAATGACCTGTAATAATTTTTCTCTAATTAAGATTTTCCACATCCAATGCTAAACATAAATAAACTAACCCATCACTTCTAAGGGAAAATTCAATAATATTAATCCCAACCTAATAAGGTAGTTCTTGATAAAACCTCTCGAAAATAATCGACTTAACAATTTATTCAATAATTTCGGCTTTCGAAAGATCACTTTTAAGCTCTTTATGCCTTCTCCATTCACCATCTTATGCTTAATTTTCTAAATAAGAAAGAAATTATTGTATACCAAATCCTGTATTACATGAAATCAAAAATTTTTCCTCGAATTAGGCATAATCTTCTAATTCTTAAATAATATAATTTAATTTTTTTTATTAGTGCATAAATCCATTTTATTTACAATTAAAATTTTTGGAAGTTAATTCTCATTATCCAACTTATTTTAAGAAAAAACTTTTTTGTTTTAATTATCTTAATAAATTTTTAAATTATTTAATCTTTTTAAAGCTTCCCTCATAGATTCATCTATTGTTTTTACACCATCAATTATAAAAGCGCATTTTTAGACATCATTTAATATATCCCAAGCCCTAGTTACATAATGTTTTGAGTATTTATAACTTTTTGTAATCCCTGGGGTATCATGTATTAATATTTATATATTATCACGTGTATATACTCCTAATATTTCCTCGCTTGTAGTGTTTGCCTTTGGAGAAACTGCACTTATACGAGAGTTCACCAATCGATTTAAAAGACTAGATTTTCCACTATTTGGGGCTCCTACAAGAGCTAATTCTAATGTTTTTGGATTTGCTGGTTGTTCTATTTCGCCTAATTTTAATTACTAAGGGATATATATATCTGCTGGATATTCGTATCTAGGAGTTATATATTTTAATGGCTTTTCATGTTTAATTATTTAGGTATCTTCGGAATCTAAGTTTTTGGGGTTTTGAAGAGGATAGGATTTTGTCTAATAATTTTAAGGAAGGTTTTTTATATTAATTTTTGGGGGTCTAAATCTTTCAAGTTTTTAATTGATAGAAAAAAAATACTTTTATATATATTTATTTTGCATTTTTTTATATTTGTATTTTATATTTTTAGATTTGTATATAAATGCATAAGTATATACTTAAAAATAATATTCAATAACAAAAAATAATTATAAATGAAGAAAAAATATAAAAATAAAAAGTAAAAAAAAATATTTTACAAAATAAATAATCAATTGAAAATTTATTATTAAGTAAGAAAATAAATATAAATTTAAAAATAATATATATATATATATAATATATATATATTTTACATTTATTTATTTTTAATGTTATTTTAAATAAAAAATTATATTAAATACAACTATATATATTAAACATAAAATTAATATTAATTATATTAAAAAAAAAATTATAATAAACAAAAAGTTAATTAATTATAAAAATTTTATTAAATAAAAATATATACTCTATTAATAGAAAAATAAATATCTATAGAAAATATAAAATAATATAAAGATTCTTCTAATAATATTAATTTAAGAAAAAACACACATTAAAATAATAATTATTTATTTTAGTATATAAAACTACTAATTTTATTTTAATATAAAGTTTCGCCTATAAAAAAATTGTTCCTTCTCTTAGCTTACATTAATCTATTTAATTAAAAGCTTCTAATAATATTTATTGAATTTAATATTATATTATATTTTCCATTTATATAAAGATTTATTATGATTATTTTGTTTTATATTTTTAATATATAGAAATGTCTCTTAAAATATTAAAAAATAAATATTATAATTTTATACCCTTTTTGAATTTATTAGGTTGATAGTTGTCTTTTTAAAACATATTAAAAAATAACAAGATAAACTTAATATTTTACCATTAAATTTACTATTAATCATAAAAAATATATTTAATTTAGTATTTTGGCATTAAAAAATATTTTAATTTATCTTATGATACTAAATATAAAATAAAAATTTATTGTATATCTTTTAAAAATAAGAAATATAATTAATTTTAATTTATCTGATGCTCTACTTTTTATTTATTCTATAGTTTTTATTTAAAATATTTTTAAATTTAAAATAAATTGAAATAATAAATAATACAATTAATATAAAATACATTTAATAGGGCATTAAAAATAGTATTATATTTAAAATATTACATTATATACTAAAATACAATATTAAATTTTAAATATTTTATTATATTCAAATAATTTTTTTAAAAAATCATTTATTATATATTTAACATTAAGCTTAATGATTTTATAAATGCTTTTCTTGACATTCTTTTGAGCAATAATAAATCAAACCACAATTTTAGCATTCTATTTCTTGTGTATTTTTCGAGCAAAATCCGCATATAAAATACTATTTTTCTGTTTATTTTTCATATAAGCAAATAAAATCTATATTGCTTTTAAAATCAGTCCACATTTTTGTCAAAAAGTTAAACTCTATTCCTAGTCTTTCATATGTTAAAACAACTCTATTTATGCCTCCTCCTCTTTTTGAGTTTGGTTCTCCTAATAAATTTAGAATTTATCCATTTGTTAAATTTATGTTTAAATTATAAGGTAACTTTCCTTAAAAACAATTAAATTTTTTATCTTAATTTCCATATATGAAAATGCAATTCAGAATACCATCTTATAATTATAAAGATATTCCTAAATCATGAGATTATATATATTTATATTTTCCCTTATCATATTCTATTTATAGAAATTTATTTTATATGTTTTCTTTTATTAAAAGTTCAGATATATTTTAATATTATGTATTTCTTTTTTCTATATATTAGTGCCAATTTATATTTAGAAAATTCAAATTAGATTCTTATTACATTATTTTTTATTTTATTTTTATTAAAAAAGTAATTATTTATTATTAGATTTTAATAATTTTGATATTTTTTCAACATAATAATATATTTTAATTAAAATATATAATATTTATTGCGATTTATCCATAAAATATAAATTAGTATTTTTTAACAAAACAAAATATTATTATTTAGTAAATAAAATAAAAATTTATAAACTATATTCAATTAAATTAAATTGTAATTTTAAATAATAAAAAATCCTTAAAAAAAATTAAATAAATATAGCTTTAATACATCAATTATTAAAAATATATAAATAAATAAAAATTATAAAGAAAAATTTAAAATTAGTCAAAAGAAAAACTAATTAAAATTAAAAACATAAATATAAATAAAAAAAAATACATATAATATTAATATAATTTATAAACAGAAAATTTACAAATTTCAATAATAAAAAAAATATTTAAAAACAAAAAGAAATAAATGAACAATAATAAAGTAAAAGCATTGTTATTTTCCCGTTTTTCCACAAGCAATGTAATATATTCAGCAACTACAGATAATTCTTAATAAAAGCAATTACTATAAGAAAGCTAAGAAATATTATAAAAACTAAAAGAAATATAATTAGTAGCAAATGAAAGGTAAAAAATATCTGGATCTTAATATAATTGGTTTTGTTAGGCTGACGATAAAGATATTCTTTACTTAGTCATAAGTACATAAGACTTTCCTGAAAGATTCGCTTATTAAATGATTTCTGAATTAAGGAAACATTTTGAAGAATTAGGAGATTATTCAGAGGAACAAGATTTAGGATTAAGATATCATGGGAAAAAAAAAGCTGAGAGTTTGATTATCTAATATAATAATATGGGAGATAAAGATAAAATTGGATAAATTTAAAATAAACTTGCAGAAACAAAAATCGAATTATAACAAGGAATTAATAGAGCTATTGAAAATGGAAATAATTTGGAATAAACCAAAGCAAAAACTGAGGAATTATCAATGAAATCGAATTAATTAAAGAATCAGTCTAAAGAATTAGAAAGTATTATGAAATGGAGAAATTATAAACTTAAAATTATATTTGGGTGTATTATTTTAGGAGTTGGTTTGTATATTTTAGTCCCTATTATTGAAAATGCATGATTTTTTTAAATGAAATTTATAATATATATAATAATAAAATATTTATATAATATTAATTTTATTTTTATTATTATTATTATTTTTATTCTTTATTTTTAACATATAATTATTAAATTTTTTTGTTTTCTTTTTATTTATATTTTTTAAAGTAAATGATTAATTATTCTTTTAATTTTTTTTTTAAACTATTTTTTATACCAAAATATTATTCTTAATATGTAAAATATAAAAAAATACATAAATTAATAAAAACTAAAGAAAAACAATATAAAAAATGTCATTTAGATAATATATATATTTAAAAAAAAAACATTAAAAATAATATAAAATATTAATCTAAAAAATAATATTAAAAAAATATAAAATATCCAAATAAATAAAATCCAAATAAAATCATAATTTCGAATTATTATTTTCCTTATCACAATAAATAACTACTTAACCTAAATTTTCTCCTAAAATTAACCTCCTTAGTCCCCTAGGAGCCGAATCTAATCCATATAAAATATCTTCAATGCACTTAAGTTTACCTTATAAAGCCAATTTAGTAAGCTCTTAACAAATTTTTTAATACTAATTCGCATAATCAAGTACAATAAATCCTTTCATAACACTTTTTTTAAAAATCAGCCTAGAATAATTTTTAATTGCATATAAATTATTTTTCGAAGTAGTATTATATTCCGAAATTGCCCCACAAAGCACTATTCTTGCATAATCATTAATTAAAAGCAACATATTATCTAATATTTCTCCACCAACATTATCAAAATAAACATCCACTCCCTAATGACAAGCTTTTTTCATATTTATCAAAAAATTTTATTTATCCTTATAGTTTATACATTCGTCAGCTCCTAATACATTTTTCACAAAATCGCACTTTTCTTAACCTCCGGCAATCCCAATAACTCGACATCCTTAGAGTTTTGCTAATTAAACAGCTATTTATCCCACTGCGCCTGCCGCTGCACTGATCACAACAGTTTCTCCTTATTTGATTTTACCAATATCATGAAGTCCAAAATAAGCAGTTAATCCCTAATTTCCTAATGCTCCTAAGAAGTGGGAAGGATGAGGATATTCTTTTGGTATTTTAAATAATTTTTAATCTTTTATTATTATATATTTTTCCCATCTCATAAAACCTAAAACTAAATCACCTACCTTGTATTTACTACTTCTGGAATATAAAACTTCTCCTATACACCCGGCTGGCATTGTATCTCCTGGATTTACAGGATCTATATATGATTTCTAACCACTCATCCATACTCTCATACTTGCAATTATTGATACGTATTTTACTTTTACTAATAATTCGTTTTCTCCTACTTCTTCTATAGCTGGAGGTTTTCTATATATAATTTAAAATACGTCCTATTATGGATATGTTTCATTTGGACGAGTTTTTAATGCAATTCTTAAATTATAATCTTCTTAATTTTCCTCCATATTTTTTTTAATTTAGGTTTTAATCTTATTTTTTTTATTTTAATTTTTTTTATAATATAAGATATTACTTTTTCTTTTTAAATTCTTTATAAAGTAAGTTTATTAATTATTAAATTTAATTTTACCCTTTTTAATAATAAAATAACTTTAATATTACGCAATTAGCATAATTTTATTTTTCTAGAAAAATAATAATAAAAAATCTTAAAATTTATATTTATTTAAATAAAATACATATATTATAAATATATGTTTTTTGTTTTTTGTTTAAATCATAATTTTCCTATATACTTATTATTCTACCAAAATCCAACTTCTATTTCTCCTGTTTATCTATAAAAAGTACCTTCTCCATGTACTTTTCCTTCTGAAAATTAACCCAAAAATTTTTATCCATTCGAAAGTATCAAAGTCCCTAAGCCATGCAATTAATTATTTTAGAATTCTCCACTATAATTGACCCAATAATTTTTCAAATTTTCAAAATTTTTAAAATCAAACTCTTTAGTCAATAACTCACAATTTTTATTTCTTAATCTACCTTATCCACAAAACATATCATTTTCCCAATCTCCATTATAAATTTCACCATTAGAATCTTTCAAAATTCCATACCCGTGTCTCTAATTAAACAAAAAAATACATAAATATTGCATTACTATAGTAAAAAAAAAAAACTTTATCATTTAGCCATTCTCCTTCATAAATTTCATTATTTTAATAATATTAACGACCTCTTCCATGTCTTAATTTTTCTGATTTTTCTCCTTCATATTTTTCAAGTTTTTATTAATTATTTTACATTACCGATTAATATACTTTTTAATCTTCTTTAGATTAATTTAGTGGTTTATTAATTTACTAATTACTATTAGTATTATTAATATATTCCATTTATTAAAAACTAGTAAGAGGATTTTGTAAAAAAGGAGGTAATTATATATAATCTATGTTTTGTAGATAATTTTTATCTAATGGAGTAAATAATTAAGAACTATGTGAAAATTAAGTTTAATAGTTGTTAATTAAAGATTTTTAGCTTTGATTACAATTTCTATATAAGTTTAGAAAATTCTTTTTTTTATAAATTTTATAATAATATTTATTTATATTTTACTTATTCTAAATTATTATTACACCTTAATTAGTTCGTTTCCATATCTATTTTATGATTATTATGTGTATTTTTTATCTATTCATATTCATCTTAAATTTAAATGTTATTTGTAAAAAATTAAGTAGATTAAATTCTTTTAATTATAAAAATATTTTTAATAAATAACTTGTAAATTTTATATATATTTTACGGAGATGGAATTAAATTTTAAATATTTATTTAAACTTAATTTTCTAATTTTTTTGGATATTTCGGGGTTAGTTCATTAAATTTTTTATTTGGTGTAGTTTAAATAGATCGGTATATTAAATTTTTATTTTTTTATTAATTTTCTATTCTTTTTTTCGTAACTAGTTATTTTTATGATTATTAATTCAAATATTGCATTTAATCTAATAAATTTTCAATTTTAATATCACCATTATCTTATTAATACATATTTATTTACCTTTTATTTTACTAATTTTTTCTTAAAGCTTCAACCTCTATTAATAGATTTTCATTTGATTTTTATAGTTCTTATATATTTAATTAATAATTTTATCTTATTTTTGTAATTTCTACATTTTATAAATTATTTTGTTCAGAAAGTTCTTTTATTTCTTATTTTAAGCAAATGTTTTCTTCTTTAATATTTTCTTCAATTTTTTGATTTTATTAAATAACATTTAGTTATTTATCTAATTAAATTTACATATTTTAAAAATCTTCTTATTATTATAAAATTATTTATTCTCTATTAAATAATTCCTAAAAAAAATAAAATAAAATAGATATAAACAAATTAAAATAAAAATAAAAGATTACTTCATTTTTCAAAATAATATTTTGATTTTATTAAGAAATAGTGTTTTTTTAATTTTCAATAACTTCATATAGCTATTAAATTTTAATTTAAAAATTATTTTCAATCTTTTAATTTTATAAAATTAATTCTGTAATTTATTAATTTTAATTTTCTATATTTAAATTAATTTTTTCTTCGCATTGATTTTCTTAAATTAATTTTTAGTTAATTTAATTATTATCTTATTTTATTTCTTAACTTTTATTAACCTTTAATAACTATATTTATATCTGTTATTCTTATATTTTTTATTCTTTATCAAATAATATCTAGTTCAATCTTTCTATTTCTTCTTAATTTATTTTTTCAAATACACTTAAATTTATTTCATCTAAATTTCTTTAATTTTATTCATTAAAATTTAATTTATTATCATTTTTTATTATTTATATATCTAAGTTATGTTATTTTTCTTATGAATCTAATTCTTTTAATAATTCTTTTATTTATTCTTAAAGTTTAATATTTATTTAATGTGAATTTTCATATTAATATTAAAATTCTTATAGTTTTTCTTATTCATTTAATAAACAATCAATTTAGTTTTAATATATTTATATTTAATTTGATTTTTCTTTTACTTCCTATTATAATTATTGCCTTATTTATTCTACTTCTTATAATTATTACTTTTTTTTTTATAAAAATTTATTTTAGTTTTAATTATATATAATACCTTCTATTATTCCATATTAATTTAAAATTATTAATATAAATGCTAATTTTATAATTTTTATTTATCAGTAACTAATAATTATTCGTCTTTAAATATATTATTTTTATATTCATAAAATTTTAATTGCTTTAATTGATTTTCCTATATTTACATTAATTCTTAATCTATTATATAGTTTAATTTTTAATATATTAGTTTTATTATATTTACATTAAATTTATAATTCATTAATTTAATTATTCAATCCAGTTATTTCTTATTCTTTTTATTAGTATGATTTCTATAAAAGAGAATATAAAATATTTTAAAATTATTATATTTTACATAAAATTATTTTATTTTAGCTTAATAAATTTAAAAAGTTAATTATATTTATTCGATATTTTTTTCCATTTCCGAATATTATTAACTATTATTATTTATTTTTTTATTTTATTAAACTTGTTTTTATAATTATTAAATTTAATTATTTAAATCATTATTAAATTCTTAAATAAAATCATTTTTTTATTATATCTGTTCTTCAATATTATTATTTTATGAAAATTTAATTAAATTTTACTTTTCTTATAAATATATATATTATTAATTTAATTCCTCTAATTTATTATTTTTATCTTATTATTCTTATTGAAAATTATTATTTATATCATATAATCTCAAATTAATATTTTTATTTTATTAATTTAACTATTACTTATGTCCTTGAATTTATTATTATATAGTAGATTCTTTCTATTATATATATATATTATTATTAATTATTTTTTAAGAAGAATTATTATTTACTTAGCCTAAATTTTTTAACTATTCTTATCTTAAACTATTTTATTTTTAATTAAACTCCTCGTATTTTTAAAATGTATTTTAAACAAATTCTACATCTTATTTTTAAGTTTGTTATATTTATTATGAATCCATAATCGAAAAATTTTATTATTATTATTAATATAATTTTTAATTAAATTCGTCTTTATAATAATTTAGTTATTAATTATATTCTTCTTAATTTTAAATAAGTTAATTTTCTAACTAATTTATTTTTTACGCATTTTATATTAAATTTTAATTTAATTCTTATTTTTCATTTTAATATTTCTCTATAGCTTGATTAGTTTCTTTTATTTACTAATTTTTCTAATTTAGAATTAATTCTAAATCATTTATTTATTATTCCTTTTACTCAAGAAGCTTGTTATTTAAATTTATTTATTCTTATAATTATTAAAATTCTTAAATTTAAATATTTTTTTTGTTTTCACTAATTTCTATTTCATCAAGTAATTCTTTAGTTTTTAAATTTTAGATTTCTATTTATTTTTACAAAAAATCTAATTTTTATTGATGTTTTTTTTATTCTTCATCTTTTTCTTATATTTACTATTTTTATTCATCATTTGATTAAATTAATTCTTCATTTAATTTGTTTTACACTTTTTATTCTTTTAATTCAGTTTTTTATTAATTTTGTTCAATTTATTGTTCTCTTATTTAATTTTAATAACTCAATATTTTTATTAATGATTCTTCCTTTTCTTCATTTAATACTTTTATTTCAGAATTAAATTCTTCTGTTATTTTATTTAATTTAATTATTTGTTCATTTTTTAATTATAACAAAGACTAATTTTAGAATTGTAGATCATCTATACATTTTTATTGTTATTAAACTTGTTAATTAAGTTAATTATTTTATTTAATTAAAGCTTGTTATTCATTTAATATTATAATATTATAGTCCTTTTATATAATAATTTTATATTTACTTAATTTATAGTTACTTTTAAATCATTTAATTATTTTGAAAAGTTATTATTTTCAATTTAATTTTCTTCTATAATTCTTTTAATTTTAAATTTTTAATTGAGATTAATTCAAATTGATTTTCATGTTCCTAAATTTATTATTATTTAATATATATGTATATAAATATATTTGTTATATTATATATTTATTTATTATATATTATTTTTTACGCTATTTTATTGCATATAAATTTTTATTTCAGCTAATTAATCAATTAATTATTTATTTAAACTTGTTAAACTATTCAACTTTTTTTAATAAAACATAAATTAATAAAATTATTTTAACTTAAGATTGCAATTCATTATTTTTTATTCTAAAGTTTTAATTGTATCTCCTTAATCTTAAATTATTAGCTCATAATTAGAATTCTCTCCCATTTCGTTTTTTATTTTAATAAAAAATTTTTATTCGATTTCCTTTCTAATTATATTCAGTTCATTTTTTCTTTCTTTTATTACTAAATCTAATTTATCCTACAAAAAAATTTTCTCTTCCAAAGATTTTTATAAATCATATTAATTTTATTAAAATTATTATTATAATTTTTAATATTTATCTTCAATTTAATTTTATATTTATTAATTTTCTAATTCTCTTTATTATAGATCTTATTCAAGCTAATTATTAAATAAATTAATATATACTATTTTTTTTGTTATATAGATATACTTTATTATTTTAGTTTTATTTTTCATTAAAATTGGCTTAATCACTTTTATACATTTTCTAATAATCTAATTGTTTTTCTAATAATTGGTTTTCTTTTTTAGTATATAAATTAATATTTTCAATTTAATTTATTTTTTCTTCATAAGTTATACATTACAAACAATTTTTTTTTTTTCTTAAGCTTATTTTATGTTTTATTATTTCTATTTTTAAATTTAGTATTATTCTTCCATTTATTTTTAATTTTAAATTTATTTTAAATTTTATATTTAATTTTAGTCTGATGGTTATTCATTAATTTATAATTATTCTTAATCTTATATTTATTATTAATCTTATATTTATTTTTTATCTTATATTTATTTTTTATCTTATGTTTAGTATTAATCTTATTATTATTTTTATTCTTAATTTTATATTTATTCTTATTAATTTTTTAATTAATTTTTGGATGTATTTTTATGATTTTTTATTAATTTATATTTACTAATTCAACTTTTTCTTATATTTAATAATTCTTATTATATTCCTATTTTTCTTTGACTTCAGTATTTGAATCTTCTATCTGTTATTTTTCATTTAATTTTTAAAATTTATTATTATTTACATATTCTTAATTTGAATTATTATCAATTTCTTAAGGTTAATTTTATTATTTTTCATTTTGAATTTATTGAGGTTTATTTTTTTAATTTTATCCTAATTTTAAAATATTTTCTTCATTTTTTTTTTATTTTAAATTTCTTTATTCAAATTTATGTTTTCTTCTTATTAATTTTATTTTTAATTTTCATCTTTTTCATTAACTTATATTTATTCTTAATTAGAATTTAAGTTTTTCTATAAATTTATAACATCAACTCGATAAATTTCTTATTATTGATATTTCAACTATAATTATTTTTCATTTATGTTTTGTATATTAACAGTATATTATTATTATTATTTAGTTTAATTAACTTAAGAGTAACCAAGATCTATATCAGAATCTTTTATTATATCTACGTTTTATTAATTTTAAATTAGAGTAGATTAATTGTTAAAATTTTCAATATTTGCCAAATTTTAATTTTAATCTCCACTATAATTTCGAATTTATTTAATATTATTTATTAAAGAATTTTCAATATTTTATAATTAAAAGTTTTCTAAACTTTAATCTTATTATGTATTTTATGAATCCATTTTTTAAAATTTTATTTAATAATTGTTATATTTTTATATCGTTAATTATTTTTATTTATATAAATTATTTATATAAATAGTAAATGTTTAAATTATATGAATCAGATAACTAAATGATTTTGTATTTAAATTTGTAAATTATAAAATAATATGCATATTTGTAAAAAAAATATTAAATTCATAAACTAAAATAATATTAATTTAATATATAAATGATTAATAAATTGAATAAAAATTATATAAATAATGGTAAAATAATATATTTAAGTACTAAAATATGAACAACAAAAAATTATTAAAATTAAAATATAAATAAACATTGATGTAAATATATATATGAATATATATATATATATATATATATATTATATATATATATTATTTATATATATTTTTATATTATATTATTTTACAATTTCTATTATTTTTATTTTTAATATTTTTTTATATTATCTATTAATTTTTCTATTTATTAGTTTAAAATTTTTTTAATAAATATAATTTATATTTATTATAACATTTCATCATAATAGTTATTTTTAATAAGAATCTTTTTTTTTTATAATTAAATTTTTTATTTTATATCACAAATATATATTTTAATTTATTTTTTATATATATACAATATTATTCAAATATTTTAATTATTTTCTTATTCTGTTTTTATTTAATTTAATTCATTTTAATCAATATCTTTTTTCATTTCATATAATCCTGCATCAATTTTAGTTTTATATACAGTTTCTTTAATTTAATTTATAGAAAAATAAAATAAATTATTTAAAATATACCTGCAACTATTCTCAGATCATTAGTTTCTAAAATTTTTTCTTTTTTTTTTTTAAATCTAAATAAAAATAATCAAATAATTTTTATTATATACGTTCTTTATTTTTTGCTATTTGTATTCCTTTATTTAATAAATCATCTATAAAACTATTTCCTATTTCAACTAATATCTATTTTTAATTTGTTTTTTTTGTTATTTTTTTTAATACTTCTTTAGCTCTTTTTTCAACATAAGGCTCATTATCATTTTCTGTAAAACTTTTTAAAATCTAATCTAAATTTGATTATTCAAAACATTATAAATTTCTATTTTTCGAATCTGACATTACTATATTTTATTTTATAAAGTAAAAACTAATAAGATTTTTTTTTTATTAAAATATACTAATTTTTATATTTATTTTTTTAATAAGATTTAAATAAAATATTAAAAAAAGTAATAAAATTTGATATATTTTTAATATATAAAAAAATTATAATTGTTTTTTATATATAAAACTATTTTAAATATATAATTATTTTAAAATATTTATTAATTTAATATAAATTATTAATTTAAAGCAACCTTTACCTATTTTTATTATTAATAAAGCCATTTTTTTAGTTATTATATATTATTAATTAAATATTTATTTAAAATATGATTTAAATTCAAATAACTTTAATATAATTTAAAAAATAATAAATATTTTCAATGCAAACATTAAAATATTTTTTTTTCTATTGAAATTAAAGCATTAATATTTTTTTTTATGAATTATTTGATAAAAAGATAAAAAGTAATTATTTTTTTTAATAATATAATATATATTAATAATAGATATAAAAGAACCAAATTTTGTATTCAAATTCATATTAATACTTATTATATATATTTCTTTATATAAATAATCAGTAAAATCTAATCTTTACAATTATTTAAAATTTTATTTATAAAAATAAAGCAAATATAATGAAAATTAATGTAAAGCTCAAACAAAAATTATTTTTAACCCCAAGTAAAAGGGTACAAAGTAGTCTATAGTATTTCAAAAACCATTAAGCTGTATATTTTCTATAAAATAAGGTGAAGTGTAAATATTATATATGTAAAGAAATGGAAGAAACCTATTATATTAAAATTGAATTAGGATTAATGATAGTATAATGTTGTAAAAATTAAAAAAAAGCTAATCTTATTAAAAAATTTGAGGATATTTCCTCGTAACAGGTAAATTTTTTTCCAATTAGTTAAAATATAATGGTTTACATTGGTACATTGGGATTTAGCAAAATGACAAGATAATTTCTATCCTATAAAACTCTTTTATTTAAGTAAAAAAAATTAAAATAATTTCATAAATTAAATTTTAAAATTTAAAATTAAAGGAAAAGCAATACAAATATATAATACTTGAAGAAATGTTTATTAAAATTGTTAAAAATTATTAGTTATACTTCTTCCTTTATGACAATAAATCCTGGAAAGGGTATGTTTATTCAGATGTTAGTATTATTAATAATTAAGATTTAATTTAAACCTATATTTATTAAGGTATTCAAGTTTTTTAAATTCTATTAAATTTATTGATCATATATAATATTTAAAGAAGAAAAAACAAATTATTTTTAAGTATTTTTGTTATAAATACTATTTTAATAATTTTTTTTTTTTTTAATTAAAAATTAAAAAATTGATTATTATATATATATATATTTTTTTTCTTTCAAATATTTAATCTTATACCTGCTTCAAGTATTTAATCGTCTGTTTTACAAAAAGCAAATCTAACTAAATTTTCTCCTTATTAAATATTTTCTTAATCATAAAAAGCTGAACAAGGAATTGTTGTGATTCCTTTTTCTTTCAAAAGCCACATACAAAATGCATAATCTTTCGTATATTTAATATTTTTATCATTATCAAAATAATATTTCTCATCTAACTATACATTTGAAATATCAGCAATAACAAAAAAACCACCTTAAGGAATCCAAACATTAAGTTAAATAGAACAATTAACAAGTTCCTATAATATCAAATCTCTCTATTTTTTTAAACGTTAATTTGTTTCTTCGAAATAATTATTTTTCATTGAAATCTCTAAAGCATTAGCTACACTTTCTTACATAGGAGCATGTCTATATATAAATATAATAATATATATATATATATATATATATATATATATTATATAATATATATATTAATATATATATATATTAATATATGATAAAAATGTTATATATATATGTATTTATATATATATTTCTATAAATTTAAAAATTTTAAATATTATATTTACTAACAAAAAATTGAATATTAGTGAAATGATTAGACATATTTAATAAGTTCATAAGGTCCAATAGTCCATCCTATTCTAATTCCTGTAGCTGAGAAAAGTTTACCAGCTGAATAAACAGAAATAGTTCTATCCCAATCCAAATTCGCAAATCTCGGAAGTTTTAAACTTTCATATTCAAAACATAAATGTTCATATACTCCATCTTCCACAACAATAACTTTTTCAAAAGGCTTTATTATTTCATGTATTTTCTTCATTTCTTCAAGTGTAAATACTTTTCCTGTAGGATTATGTGGTGTATTTATTAACAGAATTTTGGTTTTCTCATTTAAAGTATTTTTTAGTTTCTCATAATCTACTTCCCATATATCATCTTAGGTAATTCTGAATTCTTTTTCTTATTCAAACCTTTATTTAAGGCTATTTTATGTATTATTTCTTTTATGTAATAGCGGTACACTCCTTGCAATTCCTCCGGCCATCTAGATTTATGCTCTATAACAATCATATGAAGGATCCAATAATATAACTTGATCTCCAGGATCTATTAATCCTAAAAAGATTGCGTTTAAGCAACTTACACCACCTGCACTTACACAAATGTTATTTTATGGATCTATTTCTCGATTAAATATTGGTTTATAAAAGTCACTTATTACTTTGACTAAATAAGGTAAACCATATGCCCGAGTGTATTAATGATTACCTTCTTATGTATTTTTTTCGAGTGCTTTTAAAAAAAAATCAGGAGGAGACCAATTTGGAAAACCTTATCCCTTTTTTTTATTATTTTTTGTTTTTTTCTGTATTAATATTTTTTTACTAAATTTATTGATTTGTATTCGATTGATAAAGGTGAAAATATTGACCATACTGTAGGTTTATCAAAGCCGTTTAAACGTTTTGCTCCTCTTGGTTAAGTTTAGTTCATTTTTTTTGTTTTTTCTTAGATATTAATTATTACTTTTTAATAATATAAATACTACTAATTTTATATATTTATTTTATTTTTTTATTTAAATAAATTTAAAAATTGAATATCTTATATTTACAAATGTTAATTTTTTTATTTTTTAATTATATATCTTGTTTAATTCTTTAAAAAGATTACCTTATATATAAAAGGACTATACTTTTGTATTTATTTTGAAAATACCAAAGTTTTAATTATTTAAAATATAAATAAAGTTTTTTTTTAATATAAATTATGCTATAAAAAATATTATTTAGACTAATATAAGAAAAAAAAATATTTTATTTAACTAAATAATACATTATGCTATAAATTTTATATTAAAAATGCTTAAGTATATAAATAAAATATATATAAATAAAAAAAAAATATTACAAAAAGTTTATTGTACATGAAAAAAAATATAATAAGCAAAAAGAATATATAATATTAAATTATTAATTAAAAATTAATATAAAAAATATAAATAAAATATATATAAATATAAAATATATATATATTATTAATATATTAAAAATTATATTTATTAATATTTATATATTATATATTATTTATATTTAAATTTAAAATAAAAATACTTTATAAATTTATATACTTAATCTATATAAAAATAAATATGAATAATATTTAATAGAAAGAACGACAAAACGAAATTTTTTAAATATTTTCTCCTTAATAATTAAAATTACATAATTCAGACCAAAATATAAATTTAGATTAATCTTCATTTTTAATAATAGAAGATTTATTAGAAGTAAAAAATAAAATAATTTTTTTTTTAAATATTATAGGTATAAAACGAATGGAATTCTATTCCAGATATTATAAGATTATCATTTAAAGCTATTAAAAACATACTAAAATCTCACTAATAATTAATATCCTAATTAGATAATTAAATATAGCAAAAAGCCTCAAAAACAGATTTATCATAAAGAGTATCTACCAATGAATTACAATCACTAAAATAATAAATTATTCAGAAATTAAACTATAGCGATATTTAACACATTTTACAAGATTATGTATAAAAAAAAACTTACAATAATATTCTTTTATCCAAAATAATAACTAATAATAACAAACAACTTCTAAGGAAACAATAAAAGATGAAATATAGTACTTATGGGGCAGATTCGAGGAATTTTAGCGTGAATAAAGCAAAAACATGCATGAAAATATGAATATTTAGAAAGAAATAGAATATATATTATAAGAATTATCAAAGAAACCAAATATTAATGAAATTTAACAAGCTTTAGAGGATAAAATATCAAAGAAAAAATTCCTAAATTTAATATAAAAAAAAGCTGATAAAATCGAAATGGAAAAAAAGGCAGATTTGGAAATAGTATAAAATCTAACTTTTTAAATTGAAAATAAATGTGATTTAAGTTTGGCTTAAAAAATAAGCGAATTATTAGAATTTAAAGCGGATAGTAAAAATTTGGATATATTTAAAGAAAAAATAAATGTTTTGGAAAATAAAATCTCTATTTTGGATGATAAAATAGATTAGAAATAATAAATTATGGATTTATATATGAAAAAAAAGAAGGTTTTGGGCGAAAATAATAAGGAAAATATTAAAAAAAACGAAGATTGGTAAAATATAATTATTTAAATTTAAAATCTAGAAAATAAAATTAATGAAAATTAGTTTTTGTTTGAAGAAAGAAATGAAAAAATTGAAAAAACTTTTATTTAATAAATATAAAATTTAAAAAAGGAAAAAATTTAAATTTTAAAGGAATTTCAAAAATAAAACTAAGAAAATTTAAATGAGTTAAAAATCGAAAAAATCGATAAAAAAGAAATTTTGATTTTAAAATAAAATTTCTAAGAAATTTTCGAAAATAAAAATAATGTAAAAGAATTCAAAATTTCATTACAAAATTAACTTCTTAACTAAATAAAAGAAATAAAAGATGATTTTTTTGAATAAATTAATTCGTTGAGAAACAATATTGGTTAATAATTAACAGAAAAAGCCAATTTTGAAGATTTTCATTAAAAAATTTAATAGAAGTGTAGTTTAACTTAAGTCGAATATGCTTTAGAGAAGTTTTTTTAAGAAAAAATTAATATTTAAATATAAGAAATAAAAAAATTTTTAGAATAAAAAGTTTCTTAGGAAATTTATTAGGTCTAGATGGAAAAAATAAAATAATAAAATTAATAAATAGAAAATAAAATATAAGAAAAAGCTAATGTATATGATATTATTAAAGTTTTTGAAACTAAAGCGAGTATAAAAGATGTAAACAATACACTTTCTTAAATAAATTAAGAATTAGAATAAAAAATAAATAATGATGCTTTTATAAAAATGTAAAAAGAAATTTTAGTTTTTAACTAGATTTTTTTTAAATGTAATTCTTTGGGTATTTTTAAATGGAATTCTGGAATTAAAAACAATGGAAATATTATTCCTTGGGACATTTAAGTTGTTAATACTTCCGAGGAAAATTTTATTTGGGAATAAAATAAAACTTATATATTAATAAAAGAAAAAGGAATTTATTAAGTAATTAATTTATTATTAATTTTTTACGTAAATAAATTATTTTTTTATATTATTTTTATAAAAGATTAAAATTAGCTTTTTTAGTAATTAAAAAGGTGATTTTTAAATTTTTGTAAATAATTAATATATTGCTAAAAGTAATAAGATTGGAAAAAAATATATGGTAGGAAATACAATAGAAGAATAAATAAGTTTATAAGAAAAAGCTAAAATTACTGTAGTCTATTAAAATGAAGAAATGGGAGAAGGAATATTTTTTATCAAAAAATTATGTTGAGTTTTTATTATTTATAAGTTAAATTTTTTTATAATATTAGTAAATAGATAAAATAAATTTAATTTATAATTCAATAAATTCATATTAAATAAAAAAATTCAAAAATATATTTTAATATATATAATTATATTATTATTATATATTTTTTTTATATATAATATTAATTTTATATTAATATTATAGGTTAAATTATATTTACTTATAATATATTTTTTAAATCTTTAAAAATAAAATAATATAATATAATAAGAAAAAGTATTTATATAATTTTAAAATTAATAAATATAAAATATAAATTTATTAATATTATTATTTTTATTTTTATTATTATTATTATAATTCTTTTTTTCAATATATTATAATAAAATATAATAATGTATAATATTGTAATTATATTTTTAATATTCTTTGTAAATTTATTATTATAAATAAATTGTTATAATTTGATTTAAACATACTACTTAGATGAAGATTAAAATGAAATTAATATTCAATTTAATATTACATAATCAAGCAAATTAAACGATATAATTCAAATTATTCCTTTTAATTCTTATTAAAACTATATTTAATTAATAATAGAAGCAAATGCAATCCCTGTAAATGAAAATATTATAAAATTTCCTTTGTTTTGCTATGACAAAAGCTTGATAATATATGATAAAAATAATAAAAAGTAATTAAACAACTCAAACTCATATTTACAGAAAAGTAACTATTATTATAATAGTTTTTGTGATGTTTATGCTGATGAATTAAATTTTGGAAAATATTTTTTAAATATAACACTTGATTAACATTAGAATCAGCAAACAATATATCTTTAATTTTTTAACTAATTTTATCAAGAAAATGATGGTATTAATTACATTATATAAATACATATATAATATACATTTTTAGATAACAGTTTTCTCATAAATATGAATGTTGCATAAAGTAATATAAAAAAAATAAATTGTTTAAACGAAGGAATAAATGAATCTAAATTAGATTTTCAGTGTATATGTCCAGACGGAAATTATATAGGAAGATAATGTGAAATATAAAAAAAAAATATTGGATTAAACGAATATTACTAGATATAAATTTAGCCTTAAACATGGTAGTTTTTTTAAGTTTTTGGATTAAATAATTTGTATTGCATGTCTTTATAATTTTAATAAAATTAAAAAATTTAAATAATAACTTACAAAATTTCAAATGGTATATATGATAAATATGAAAATTAAATATTTAATGATAATATAACAAATTCAAATATAATTGAAGGTTAAAATAATTCAATATGCGTTAATTTTAATTAAAATATTGGATTTAATGAATAAAGACTAATTGGAATAAAAAATATAATGAATTATAAATTAAATATAAAACTTAAATTAATAGAAATTTCATAATAACTATTAAAAATAGATTAAATTATAAATACATTAATAAATTTTACATGCTATATAATTATAGGTATTGAATATGTATATATGAATAAAATATAAATAAATAAAAAAAATATATTATAATATAATTATATATTTTTATATTTATATTTTTTTTTTTATATATTTTTTTATTTATATATAAATTTTCTTATTTATTTATTTAAATAAAAAATATTTTATATATATTTTTTTATTTATATATATAAATAAAAAATATTATATATATATTTTTTTATTTATTTATATTTATATTATAGATGGAATTTTATTTGTTACTTGTATAAGTTTTTTAATATTTATAATCAGAACAATATACATCTATTTTTATTAAATTTAAAAAAAACTTCATATTTTTAAATTATTTCCTGCATAAAAATATAATGAAATAGATTAATAATATAAAGATAAATTATAAGAAAATGTATGCTCAATATGTCTTTGTGATTTTTTAAATAACGAAATGTGTATTTTAACTGCTTGTAATCATATTTTTCATTAAGAATGTTTATTATCTTGGATAAATAATAAAAAAAAAGAATGTCCTATATGTAGATTCAATTTAATAAATGAATAAACTAATAGATATTAAGAATTTAATGATTAATAATAATAATGAAATAAAAAAAAATATTAATTAATTTTTATTTGACAATATTTTATTTTATATAAATTTATAAATATAAATTATATTTTAATCATTCTTGTTAAATATTATTTTTTTCAATAAAAGGCTAATTATATTAAACACTATTATCAATATCAAATTTGTCAATTTTCCTATCAAACTAATCCCAATCCGGATTTTTCATATAGAATTTATTTCTATTATAATTCAAAAAATAAATAGAAAACGCTGTAAAAAGTACACTGAATAACGCTCCTATTCCCGATATAATATCAAATGATGTCTTATAAGTAATCTAATTAACAAGAATATTATCTGAAAGTCTAATCCAAACCTAAAATGCATAAGAAACGGATTCTTTGCCATTAGGAACCACATTTGACATATAACTGAATTAATTAACTAATTATTAATCATTAGTAATATTTTCTTTAAATTAAGTTGCAAAATCAGGTTTTTTTATATTTTATTAATATTACATCACTATTTCATTTCTATTATAAAATCCTTATATTATAAAGTACTAATATATGTAAAATTGAGACTTATTATTTTTAATTTATTCACCTGTGGCATAATTCACACTATTTGGTTTTTACATATAAAAGAAAAATCTTCCTCCGGCAAATATTTTTGCAATTTATTCACTTGATTTACAATCTTGAAGTCCATAACATGTAAATAAAGTTATACCTGGATATTAATATATATCAGATGAATACAATATTCCCTACATAATTATAGGATTATCTTTTGTTATATCTGGGCATAATATTTCTATACCTTATTAGATCCTTTATAAAAAAAATTATTGATAAATAAAAATATATATATATATATATATATATATATATATATATATATATATATATCATTATATAAAAAATTTTATTACCAATCAGGAGAGCACCTTTTTAAAGGAATATCCTTTTTAATTGTTTCAAATTATTTTGTTTCCTCATTAAAGAATTTGATTTTACTTTACATTTTTATATTAAAGTATGTAGGATCAAAATTATATTAGGAATCATTTAATTCTTTTCCGTATAAAAACCCGAATGCCATAGGGAGATTTTCTACTTATATATTAGGATCTAAAGGTATGTAATATTAATTAAATGATGGAGGATTAGCTTTAAAAAAGTTAACCAATACAAATATAATGTAGGCTAAACACAATACTATTAATAGAATAGAACCACACATAGATCTTTTAGTACTAACTGGTTCTGACTTTGGAACAGGTAAAAATGAAAAAATATCTATTGAATGCAATATGTTATATAATTTAGTATTTTTTTTTAACATTTTTCTTTATTTTATTTTTAATTTAAGATATGATTATATAAATTTATATTTTAAATATAATTTTAAGTGTTAATTATATCTATTATTCTAAAATATTTAATCTTATTTCTTATTTTATAATAAATTTTAAATATGATTGATATACAAATATTACCAAATAAATTACTAAATTAAGTTTAAAATATTTATATATAAATTTTATTCATAAATTTGAATAAATATAATATTAAAAATTTTTTTATTAATATATTATATTTATTTGAATTTATTTATAATTCAAACCTGAATTTCTTAATTAAATTATTATAATCTCTTTATAAATATTTATTTATTTATATTAATATTTTCCCCTTATAAATTACTAAAAACACTTAACTTTTATAATCTATCAATAATTTTTCTCAACATTTCGATATATCTTAACATATAATGTTTAAAGTTTCTTTTTAATAATAATAGTAAATAATATTTATATATAATATTTTTGTTTTACTCTTGGCTTATTGCTAGTTTAAAAAGAGGTTTTCTAGGCGCATTTGGTAATCTATCTGCAATAATTTCAATAATTTCTTGAAATGGAAGGTAATCTTTTTCTATTTTAAGAATTCTATTAAAAATAAAATAAAATAAAAATTAATATTTTTAATAAAATTTACTGTTTTTTATTTTTAAATTTATTTTTAGAATAATTTCGTTTGTACATATTTTATAGAGTTTTAGGAGAAGTTTATAAAATTAATCTTTATTTTTTTATAAAATAAAAATAAGAAATAAAAATACTATATTCTTTCAAAATTAATTGCTTATTTATTATCTTGAATGAATTTCACTTTTTTTTAATAATACTTTTTTTTTTTTTTAAATATAATTTAAAAATATTAATTTAAATATATTATTATTTACATCTTCTAATATTTTCTAATATTTATATAATTAGCTTTTATAAATATGCTTAATAATCTTTTTTTTTACACAAATTTCAGCCTATTTAGCAAATCCTAAGGCTGTTTCTCCTAAAAAAATCTAATCTATTTTATAACCATAAATAGCAGGTAAATGTATTTCTTTATAATGAATTGTAAAAGGTAGTAAGCTTTATTCAATAATATCTTTATCAATAAATTTAAATTTTTTTTTTGCATTTTGATTTTTTGACGGACTAGTACTATTTTATTAATATTTCTAAGAATGATTTACTTATATTTTCAAATTACTGATATTATTAAAATTTTAATCAAAAGTTAAAATATCATCCTCTTTTTATTAAATAATATAAGTTTTATCGCTTGGATTTTTATCAATAGCTGTACTCACTTATATTTTTCTTTTTTTAAAAATAAAATAAAAATATAATTGTGAAATTCATTGTAAATAAAAAGTAATTTTTATTTATAAAATATATAATACAATTAATCAATTAGACTTCCAAAAATAGTATTTTATTAGGCTTTTTCTGATATTATTTAATTAATATTATTACTGTTATCTTTTTCGGTTACAATTGTATTATTTTTTAATTAAGACAAAAACTTATCAAAGGAATCTGTTTATCCGCTATATGCTTAAAAATCATTATTATTTTACATAGATTTACTTGTATTCATTTTTATAGATTAACTACTTTAATTAAGAGATGAGGCTTATTATTATTTATCTGAGTTTTTTTTTAGCGTAAAAGTTTCAACTAATTTATCAAAATTAGTTTAATTTAGATCAACTCTATTTTCTTTTAGTTATTATTTATACATAAAAAGTAAATGGGAATCCCATATTTAAGTTAGTACGTTTCTTTATTAAGAACTCGATTTTAATACCCAGACGAAAAAATTCTAAATTAATTCGACTTATTTTTTAAATGCTGATAATTTAAGTTTTATTTTGATTCTAAGTCTTTAAACATATTAATTTATTAATATTAATCGAGAAGCATTTTACATATATCCAACTTGTTTGAATTATAACCATTTTTTTATTAAATTTCTCATTAAATTTTTTTAAAAATCTGATAGTTTTTTCATTTTCTATCTAACTAAAAATTATTAAATTATAAAACTTATTCTTTTATTTTTAAGTTTTTAAAAAAACATCATCTTTTTGTTTTCTATACTTTTTACTGTTAATATTTGTAAAATCTAACAAATCATTTCTGCATTGATATATAAAATCCAGTTATAGTTTATCAAATCCTTATTTCTTTATTCTTGATCTTTTTATTTAAGTAATTACTTATATTCCATACTTTTTTAATATGTTATATTTTATTATTCTTGTGCTTTTTTTATTCTAATTTTTTTATTAATACAAATAAAAATATAAATACATATATATTTAAATATATATATATATATATATATATATGTATATATATACATATATTAAATTTATTAAATATTTTTACTTTTATTATCTTATTTCTTGTTTTTTTTACAATACCTAACTTATTTTTATGTCTCTTTCAATTTTTTTATTTTGTAATAACTCATATTTTTATTAGATTTGACTTTAATTCATTCTAAACCTTTCTTTTTTAAGGAAATCTTCCTAATGTTAATTTATGAATTAAAAAGCACTTTCTTATTTAAGTGACATATTATTTTAATTGACTTTAAAAGGACTATCTTATCTAAACTAAGTTTAAAAAATAGTTTTCTCACCCTCGTTTTATGTTGGAATCGTCGGACTCAGATTTTTTTTCAGTTCATTAAACTAATATATTTATAATTTAAATCTGATTATAAGTATTATTTAAAAAAAATACTTTCTCTCTTGTTTCTTTATCTATTCTAAATCGTTTTTTCGAAAATTGATTTTCATTATCTCTAATATACTTAATCATTTTTTCTTATTCGGATTTTTTTCTTTCGTTTACCATTTTTTCTTTATATATAAGTTCTATTTATTACATCAAAATATCATCTACTAAAACTCCTTTAGGCTTTTCATATTTATAAATTCTAGCATCATTTTTAATTTTCTTCTTTCTTTCTATTTCTTTTAATTAGTCATGATATTCAAACTCAACTTAATGAATCTTTATTTTTTCTGTTACTGGATCAAAAATTATTTACCTATTTTTAAATAAAAACAAACAAATATAACTTTATTTTAATTTATTTAATATAATTTATATATATATATATATATAATATATATTATATATATATATATATATATATAATTTTCTTTATTTTTACTTATTTATATTTTCCAAAAAAATATAATCTGTGCAACTTTTAATCCTTTCAATAGGTTTTTAAATACTTTAAAAAAGTAGTTAATTTTTTAATTTATTTTTATTATTAATAATATTAAATTTATTTTCAAATATAGAAGTTTTCTTCTTTTATAGAACAAAATTAACTTTTTTTTAATCATTCTAAAAAGAATCTTATTTTTAGTTAAATTAAATACTTTAGGCATGTCTAATAGATCCATTATTATTTTTTTAATTTAAATAATTAGAATTTAATTTTCTCGAGTAAAAATTATCTATTTTTTTAACATTTTCCTTTGCATTATCAATTAAATTACTCCAAAACAACTTAGTATTACTATTAAAAAGCTTATTCTTATAATTACTAAATATAGCAACCAAATAATTCTAACCACAACCCACATCTACACATCTTTTATTTCTTAACTCCTCTACACATAAAGGTTAATTATAATCTTTCGTATCTACATGTCCAAGGCAATTTTAAGTACTTTTTTTTATTTTTTAAATTTTTAAAATAATATAAAATATATATATATATAAAAAAAAGTCAACATATAAACAAAAATTACTATAATCTTACTTCTCTCCCCATGTATATAATAGTCCTTTATTATCAATCGCTGCATTTTGATAACCGTAACTACATATTTTTACTATATGAGTTCCTGGCTGTATATTTTTTTCTGATTTTAATAACAATAATAATTTTTTTGGTCTAAGATAATCCTTTATAAAAAAAAATATTATTTATTTTAATTATATAAAAAAAATACAATTTTTATTCCTTATTTCTTTTAATCTTTTGTATATATAGTTCTGCCCCAAGAATATATTTCTCCTTTAAAATTAATTGCACAACTATGCCTGTCACCACAGCTTGATTGTATTATTTTTTGATCTTCTAAAGCTTTTATTTTATAAGGATTTATTACTGTATAGTTATATTCACCTAAACTACTTTAATGACCTAATTTACCATCTGAACCATCTCCCCAAGAATATATTGAACCACTTAAATCCCATAAAAGACAATGGTTTTACCACAAGCTATTCCTTTTATTATAATATCCTATTATTAATTTAGCCTTTAATTATTTTTTATAAATTTACTTTAAATGGAAGATTCACTTAATAAATTTTGTCTGTATAGTTAATATTGTATTATCCTAAACCTAATCTTGCTATAAAGTAAATATGTAAATGAGTTATTTTTTTTTGTAAAAAAAAATATACATTTATCTTCTTTTCCAAAAGAAAATAAATATTTTTTATTTATAACAATTAATGATAAGTTATGGCTTGAAGCTGCTTATGTAAACTTTAAATTTCTATTTTTTAATAAATATTAATATGCGTGTATATGTGTGTTTTTTTTTTTTTAATAAATTGAACTTATATTCATTTTCTTAAAGATATTCGTGAAATTGTTTCTTTTTAATTTAAGTTGGTTCTAAAATATATT